CTATGCAGTTCTCGAAATGAAAAAAGAGAGGAAGAGGAAATGAGAGAGGGAGAGGAGAAAGGAAAGTTTAGAATTGGAAAAAGCGGAGGAGAGAGGGATTGCGAATTGAGAATTGAGAATTGAGATTGTGGTTGTTCGTATATGGGGGTGTGTTATGGGTCTTTGAATTGCAATTGAGACAAGAGACGTGCTCTCTTCGTTTGGAATGAAAGCCAGCCAGGGACGCCTTGACCTTTGGGAAATTTCAATAAGCCAGGGAATCGTTCCTTCCAAGATAGTCTTGTTTATGTGTCTGTCTATATTATAGCTGGAGTAAGTAGGATGATATATAGAGGTTGAAAATATATAATCTTATATATATATGGATTATTTAGAGGTTCACGTCAAGCTGACTCTCTCTTGGGACAATGTTACTTTTCGGATTATTGACAATATATGATGTACTATGTACGGAGTAAGTAGCCAAACAGTTACCAGGGCCAGGTACAGTGTTCTTTAGTGTAACCCGACCAGCCAGATATCCCACATGACACATCCAATAGAACAGACCCTCGCCTCCCCACACGAGTCAATCCCTAGGAGGGCATGAGGATGGAACTAGGTACCTAGTAACAAAACCATAGATTCGATTCTGTACAGATCTATGATCTATAATCTATAATCTATAATCTATGATATGGTCTTGATCTATTGTACGGAGTAGAACGAACAGCTTTCCTTTTTCATCGAGTTATTTTTATCCAACCTAGTTATCCCCGTATTTCCTTATATTTCTCCGGGAATGAGGATAAGCACCCTAGGTATTTGGTTTGGCCACCATCAACCCATCCCCCCCGTCCCCCCATCCCAACCTTCACCATTTTCACATCAACACCTTGAGGCAAAGAATCTTCTAAACGCCTCCTATCTCATACTATTCCACACCCCATTCACACACCACCCACCCCTTCACACCCACTCAATTTATTCATTGCCTGCATACGCTTACTTGTGCATATGCAAGTTGTACGGAGTATGCAGCAGCCTTGCTTTCCCATCGGCAGTGAAAAAGCAGGCGCGCGCTCCATACTTGAAAGTTGATTGGTGACGAATCTTCGGAGTCCCTTGGAATCATGCAGAGGAGGATGCCGAAAATGGAGCCTGCGCTTTTACCTTTTTCAGGTACCCACGATTCTCACCATGTTTATTATCTTCTAGTCCTTGCGGTCTGCATCTTGGACTGTGAAAAGTCACACCCCCATTTGGTATTAGATTCAACGGTTTTTAAGGTCTTTTTGGGGTTGGCTAGACAGTCTTGAAAGACACGGCAAGGGATGCGTATAGTGGGAAATGATGCGGTATGGCATAGTATAGTATAGCATGGTATAATATAGGATAGTACAGCATAGTACAGCATAACATAGTATAGCATAGTACAGTAGCATATATACTATCCTAGGTAAATACCAAATGAATCGAGGATTTAGCCCAAGTTTTTACCAAGTTTTGAACATTACACTGGAGAACGTTACAGTGTCGAAGATTACTCTTCATGCTGAGCTGATGACACGACAAATATCGCAGTGGTGCTGACTCGTGGATGCGCCGGAGAAACCGAATGCAGCTGTATTATAAAGCCTAGACAGCTAAACAGCCTTAACTACAGGGAATAATCCTAGGCACCTCTAGGCTCGTTACAGGCCCTCTATACTCCGTATGCCGCTATAGACCCCCCTTGTTAGGAGTCATTTCGTTTTTTCTTCCTTCTTTGCGACTGGAAAAGTTTGAAACCCTTTTTCCCGCCTTCTCCTTATCGATCAATCTCGTTTCGCCTGATGTCTTTCGCTACCAACCCACATTTACGGTACAGTATACATACCACTTGACCTATTTGGTACTCAATCCCCTGTAGCCGGGTTTACGTTCATGTCATAATAGGTTAGAACTTTACCAAATGGCTGGATGCTGGATTATCTCCTCTTACATTCTTCAGCCTCGCGTGCTTGTTTTTCTATTTAAGAAACCATGGATATCCTCGATTATCCATAATCCTCTCTCGCTTCTAGAAGTCATCTCTCGTTAGTTCGGAAAGGATATTCCTTCCGGTATCATTCGAAGCGTTGGCAAACTGAAGATATCAGCACAGCAGGGCTACCAAAAAGCCAATTCATATCGTGGCCGAAATGGACGGACCTTTCCATCCAAGGGATCAATGCTTGACCAAAAGAAACGTTCCAGCTCGGATAGGGACACCATCAGTGCTGCACCCAGCCTCGTCATCTGAGGAAGGGTGTGCAGGAATTGGCAAAGGTCGCCGTTTAAGAGTATCAAATTTTCATTCCTCAGATCTTTTCCCACTGTATCAGGCTGTGGCAGGAGCGTCAGATTTCAAACTTCAATCTTCCAAGATGACGGATTGTTTTCTATAATCCTGCAAGCCCTCCTCTTCTTACTCCGTACATTCCGTACATTTAGACGAACGCTGGGGGAACACAGAGAATAGATTGTCGAACGTGATCTTAGACACTTTTCTTCCTTTGAACAACACAGTATCTTAGACCCGACGGGCTTGTGACGGCGGAAGAATTGCAACACATCTATCTACGTGTATTTAACTTTCTTCCGTCCTTTTCAAAATCATCTGCGGGACTTGGTTGTTCCTCGGAGAACTCACACTGTTACTTCGTATATAAGAATCCATACACAACGTAGCCACAACATCGGCAAGCCCGTCGGTCGTCACCTATCTTACACGTTAAGAAAAGACTAAGGTAAATTTGGATCATCAAAACACCAATTCCTTTGGCCTTCACTTCTGCAACTCTCACGCCCCTGTCGTACTCAGCACATATATTACTATAAGAGAAGGGACTGATATATTAACTCGCTGCAAAGCTCACGAGAGACGGACATCAGCATAGTTGGGTACCTCCTTACTAGACCTACCCTTTTAATCACCAATCCAATATAAAAAAACCACATGCAAACAAACGTAAGAATCGGAGAGATCGAAAATTTTGTTTGATCGTTTATCGAGTTCCTTCCTTCCCCTCCTTCACAATCGCGGCATGGCCTCCCTCCCGCCTTATCCACTCACTGCGAACGGAAAAGAGGATCGATGCTACCGAAGAATGCATTGGTAAGTTGTAACAAGTTAGTGCCTAGAAGTAAGGTAACCTTAACTAACATCACTAGCTAGCTATTTTCTAGCAACATTCCGCGAGGCTTCTGCGGCTACCAAAATGAAAAACTTTAAACCTTTGGTGGGATAGATGGATGGATGGATGGGATGGGATGGGATAACACGGAAGATTTATTAGTGGATCAAAGATCAATAGTTTTGGGAAGATCAATTATTCAAGAGATCTAGGAAAGAATCTAGAAAAGAATTCTAGAAATAAAAATCCCCAAAATTCAAAATCAAAGATAACCCTTACCCTACCTACCTACCTA